AGAAATTTTTCTTAAATGTGTGTACTTCCTCATTTATATATGTACGACCCTCACAACTATAAGTAAGATCCTACTGACACGACTTCATATCCACCCTAGGGTACTTTAACTCTACGCTCATCTCCCAGCATTGTCAAAGTCCGAGCCTACATCCTAGACGTGGCCGATACTCGACAACCATTTTTTGTCCCCAAGCAAACCTTTGGGTTGGATGACTACATAGCGGAATCACTCAAGCAATAATACTTAAAATAGAATAATTTAAACTCAAATTAAATATTCAACTCATATATCTCTAAAATACTCAATAATATAAGTATAATAGTTTACAAAAAAAAGCAAGGAAAAGAAGTACTGAAAGACTCGTCAACTTTATCTATCTATGAAGTCTCCAATGTTTAAGATAGGTTTCGGTATAAGACCCATGAAACCTTCAAACAACTAAATTAAAAGTAAATGTGAAGTCCTCAGAATACAATGAGGTTCACTAAAAGCTAACTGGAGAGTAGAGTGATCTCAACGAAGCACATGTTGATGATCCTGAACACTTTTATCTGCATCATAAAAGAATATAGGTCAAATGACATCAGTACATTTTAATGTATAAGTATGAAATATAACTAATAAAAATAAATGTATGAAAGGGATACAATAGACATTACATAAACTCAACTAATATAATGAACTAAAGGAATGAAATTATTTGATCTTTACAAAAATATTACTTATCTCTGACACTCAACATAATAAGTAATATATAAAAATACACTTTAACTCTATTGGGACATTCTCTAACTTACAACAATCACAAAGATACAACACCTTGTCCATGTTGCCTGAACTATCCTATATGGGATATAGGAAACATCAACTAAGTGGATCCACTAAGATCTTCCAAAGGCACAAAGGATTCACCTAAAAAAGTATGATTTTGCACCCAATAATATATACTTTTGCTCAAATGTATAAAAACATTTCTCTTTCTCTATTTTGAAATGATTTCTCAAGCAAGCCTTTCAAAAGAGTTATCTGGTTTGAAATATCTCTACAGCTCATTGCTCATTTAGAAAACAATGTTCTCTTTGTTCAATGTAAAAATACTTTCTCTTGGTTGAAATATACTAAGAAAAAAAACACTCTTTCAGAGGTAATTTCTTTGTACTTAATTTTTCTAAAATCTCTTTTAACTTTTCGGAAAAAAAAGGGGTCTACTCTTTCCTCATATAAAAAAACATTTTGGATGTACTTAGTTCTCTTATACTTTTTCTGAAACTCCTCATTACTCCCTCAAAATTCAGTTTAAACAGTAATATTTTGTTTAAAAGATTCTCAATGAATACTCAAGAATAAGGTTCATGCTAAAATTAGACATGAACGAATCAACTGAAGGATATCAATAACAATATAGAAAATTCAATACTCAGATATCAAGAACTCATAACTCAACGACATTCCTCATCTCAAGAATACTCAAATCATAGAGTTCATGCTGAAATATAGACATGAGCCAACAAACTCAAGAATCACAATGCATAACATATAGGAATTTAATAATTAGGAATAATATTTCCAAAAGAATCAGGAACTCATGAACTCAATATCAACTAATCTCTAGAAACTAAAATTAAGGATAGAATCCCACATTACCCTTTTATTGATTTGAAAGTAAATGTATGGAATGTAGAAGAACTGGTCTAACACTATGTTTGCAAGAATGAGGTTTTTTGGCAAAATTGACGTAACTCGAAGAACACTTGAACCCTAGTTTTTCTTCTCTTGGAACCTCGTTTTAATATCTTGAAGTTTTAATTCACGTAAAAGAATTGATTAACACTTTTACGCCCTTAATTAGGTGTAAAACATCGTGGTTTAGGCTTATAATATGGATTAAAATGTTGTAGTTTAAATTCCAAATGTATAGGACAAAGACCAAAATGACCCCAACTTTTAAATTTGACAAAATACCTTAAAAGGGAGGTTTCACATACCGTTTAGGTATCCTGGTTCGTGAAAATTCATGGGCCGTATTGATGATCGTTAAACTTCACTTGGCCGACAATGCTTCTCTAAACAGACATAACTTTTTTTTCGAAACTCAAAATGAGGAAAAATTTGATGGTTTTTGAAGGATTCAAAGACCTTTATGTTAATAAGTCATGGACCACCTAATTCATTATGTGATGAGAGATATGATTGTTTGAAGTTGACTCAAAATATAAAAATTGATGGGTGACTTGTTTGGACCACCAAAAGGGTCATACAAGCCACCACGGGCCTCCTAGGATCCCGTCCAGGTGACCCCCTCCTTGTCAGCCTTTGATGGTTTGTCACACTGCCCTAAACGAGTCTTGGTCCCATAAATGGTGTGTATAGGGAGTCGTGAAGGGTCCATGGTCCATTATGGGTTCGTAGACTTTTAAGTTAACCCTCTTTAGCCTTTCTAAATGTTTGAAGTGTTACATGAACAATTATAATTTTAAGAGTAGAGTTGTGTGGTGTTATAGAATGATTTGTTATTCATCTTCTATTTCAAAATACTTAGAACAAACCTTTGAACATCTTTGTAAGACAACAAAGGTCAAGAACATTTTCACTACTAGAAAATTAATGCTATAGCGCAAACAAGGATCATAAAAAGATTTTTTTTAAAAATATACGAAATATTTTTCTTAGAGAAGAATTATTGTTAATATGTGTGTAAAGAATCTTACTGATTCCAATAAACTTTGCAGAAACACGAAGTTACCAAGTTTAATGAACTATTGAAGAACAAAAGAATAGAAGAACTGAAATTAATTCACAATTCTAAAATTTGTAAAACACGTACCAGAATCTGGAAAATCATTAATAGGAAAAAGATCAAGTCCATTAAAATCACAGTGTCCCCTTAAGGAAATTATTCTCCTCTAGTATCCGGGGTTTGATTTGGATTATGACCTCCCAGGGTAAAATAATCTCAATCACCAGAGTATAGATACCAAAAACTCCTATGTCAGCGAACCACTCAACGACAATAAAGTACACTTAGAATACTAGATTTTGTAGTTGAAGAAGAAGTCCATGAATTCTATATTAAAATGAGAGGAAATCCTTTATTTTAGAGAAAAAGAGTAGTACAAAAAGGTTCTTATTGTGCCTTACCGATAAGTCACAAACCATTGGAAAAGTCACAATATTTCAGAAAGGTCGTCACCTTTCATAAAAATCACAACTGTCCATAAAAGTCACAACTTTTCATAAAAGTCGCAACTTTTCATAAAAATCACAACATTTCATAAAAGTCACAACTCTTTATAAAAGTCGCAGCTCTTCATTTTCCACTCACACCTTTTTAAAATCCAACATGATTCGAGTCTGATCTTAGAAAATTTTGATGTATTACATTCACATCAGGTTATAATTGATACCTAAATTGATTCAACTAACTGTCATTTTTGTTTTTGAAATTCAATTTTCTATTATTTTTTTTGGTCGACGGCCCATTTTCCAAAAGGATAAATCAATATTGTTTTTAAATTTAAGCCTTTATTTCCTCTTTTAATTAGAAACTAACCCCACTACATCCCTAATCATCCAATTACGTTTTAGATATCTACAAATAGCTTCCCACTTCTTCATTTCCTCCCATTTCTGTATGAAATTTCTATCAATCATTAGCTCTAGTAATTTTTAGTTTTATTATGTTAAACTTTCAACATTTACATGGATAATCCTCATTTTCCTCGAAGATGAGGAAAAATAAGTCTAGTGTGATTATAATGTAACCTACTAAGTGAAGATATGATTTAGTGTCTACTTTTATTATAGTGATTCATATAACCAAAAATTTGCATTGAAATATAGTGAGGATATTGTTTTGTTTTGCAAACACATAGACACTCAAATGTAAATCTTACTTAAAATTTGAATTTGTATTTGAATTTGAATTTGTATGATTACTTGTTTGTTGAAGTCAAATGATCAAATTTCATCTGAATCTATGAGGATGAATGTATACACTAAAACCCTTAATAAAATAAAGTTTTTGTTCCAATTTGATTCAGTTTATAGAGAATACCCGATAATCCTTAAACTGCCAAACATGAATAATTGGGGTTTTTAGGAGTATGCATTGGGTTTTTGTGTTTTAAAAAATAAGTCAAAGTATTTTTTTTCATGCTAAACGAATACTCCTATTTACTAGATATAATATAACAATAAATCATTACAAACCGAGACGGCGACATTAATATTTGGCTTAAAGAACTACAAATCAAATTACATGACGACCTTTTGAGCCAAGAAAGAGTAATTCATTCTTTGTCTACTTTTGGAATTCTTAACAAAAATAATATCGGGTCTATTAATTAGGAAGTCAGAGAAGGCGGTGATGGGAAATGAGGAGTTCTTATTTAGGAAACACTGCATTAGTTAGATTTATAGGCTTACCAAGTGGGTCTATCATGTTATATTTGTTGTCCTTTTTAGTGTTGACACTCAATTTTTTTCCTCTGCTAATTAATTATTTTTCAAGCTTCTTGAATTTCAAACAATTTGAAGTAATTATTTTGAAAAAATCAAAAATACTTTAGTTTTATGGTGATTTTCCTTTTTCTTTTCCTATAAAATATATTTCTATATACTTGAAATATATAGATTTATATAGTTTACAATATATATTTAGAAAATCTTTTTACTAAAATGGTGTTTTAACTAAGTTAGAATTTTTTATTTTAAAAAAACTAATAATAATTAAAACCTTATGTCAAGATGATTGTTTTACTTTGTCTAAATTAAGAGAGTTAATAATTAATTGAAAGCATAATTCATTTTGTTTTAATTTTTTTTCATCTTATCATTTTCAAGACCAGGGGTCTTTATTCCTTTGAAATCAAATTGGGCCTTAGCTTTTCAATGCAAACAAAAGAAAAACCAAATTCTTGGCCCAATTCACAAGACCTGGCCCAAATAACCCCTTCACTACTCTGCACTCAATTTCCCTCATCCAACAATAACACATCCGCAGCCTCAACAACGTCAACCCAGAACAAGAGCGAAACCAGAAACACCAGCAGTACGCGACTCGTCCAAAACAGCCACGCAGTGCGCCCATCGAATTGAGTCTCGCACGTGTCTCTCTCCCTCGACCTGATCCTCTTGAAAGTTGGAGGACAAGGCCAGGTGTCTCCATCTCCTTAAAAGCTCGTTCTTGGCTCAAAATCGGACGACTCTCCCCTCTTTTCTATTTGAAAATGGTACGAATTCGTACACCCTCTAGCTCACGCACCCTTATCTTTGCTGATTTTTGAATTTGGGATTCTCCCACATAGTGTCTAACAAGAAATTCCCCCAAAACTCTCTTATATAAATCCCTTTCTTTTCACTGTTCAGAGGACGATTTTCGGAGACCAAAGAATACCCAAAAACTTTTGGGAATTCTTTGTTCCACAATTCAAATTTTAAAACGTTTTGTGGCTTTTTGAGTTAAAGAGGTGGAATCGTTTCCAAACTCGTTGTCCCGATTTGCTGCTCAGCACAAGGTAATCATGTATATTTTCCTTCTTGCTAGTTTAATTTAATTTTCTCTGATTAGATTTTTCATTGTGAAGGGTTTTCGTCTGAATATTTTTTAGTTATCTTGTTGGCTTCTTGTCTTCATAATATGATTGGTAGTTTAGTGTTTTCAATATATTAGATTGTCTGTGTTTGATTATATCCACAAAAACTTGCAGGTTTTCTTCAACTCTATTGGAAAATTAGAATACCCCTTTTGTTTGATTGTCAATATTTACAGTAAGTTGTAATTAGAATACCCCTTTTGTTTGATTGTCAATATTCACAGTAAGTTGTGGATGATTAATGTTCAAGTTTGTCACATTCATATCAGAACATGTGTTGTAGCTTTAAAAAAAATAATCCTTTCATTTCATGGTCTCACCTCTTTCACTTATCACGTCATTTTATCCCTCTGATTGCATTATTCTATCTCGTTATTTGTGAAATTTTGTTTGAGATGATTAGCTTTTCGTAGTTGTGTTGCTTCTATGGTTGTTGTTTAAATTATTGTTGGCCTGGTATCATAGGGATCATCTCTATTTCACTCTCCTGTTACATGAGTCTGGTCCATAAAAATGAAAAATAAAATTGTTTCCTTACAAAGTTGTTTTGAGAAGCATGCTTGGGTATTTTATATCATGTTTGTGCTTTCTTTCAGCATTTGTTTCATAAGATATTGACGGCTATCATCCTGCTTGCTTAAGTGATAGTTCTGACCAGTTTATTGTGCTTACATTTAAGTGTTAGTTGGGTGTAAATGGAGCCTGTAGCAGCTTGTTTGGACTGTTATACTACTGTTTGAATTAGTTTTCTGGTTGTTTCATTGTTTGTTTAAATTATGATCAGTTGGCGACTGAAAGGGTGCAAAACTCTATGTTTAATAACCTTTGTGCCTCTTCCGTGTAATTGTTTAAGTTAGAGTATGACATTCATAATTATTTCCATTGCACTTCGTTACTTGCTCAAATCTCTTAGCAACACCATGTAGTTAGGATGACTACGGTTAAGTTCCTTTATTAGTTTTAAGAAATTATATTTTATTACTCTAAAAATATTGTTCACTCTGTTTTGGATTTTTTACATGATGGTAACTAGATCGTTTATTTGACTTGATATTATTCATATTGAGGTTCTTATTTTACTCTTTTCTTTTCCTCCTTTTGCATGAACACGCTTTCAGTGAATGAATCCAATAGACTCCCCTCTCTTGCATTTTCCTCTTATTGAGTCAACCTTCTTCGGAGTTGTGAAAGGGAGCTAATATTATTGGTTTAGACACCAAAAAATACAGCAGTAGCAGTAGCCTAAATGGCTAAAAGAATAGCATTTTATCGTACTTGATAAGTCCCAAAAATTGCACTAATTGAGGCAGAGTTACGATAACCTCATAAGGCTGAAAATGAGGAGCAAATTTGGGTTAAAATTCCAAATTAATGAAGCAGTAGCAGCAGCCTTAGAAAGGCTAAATTTTTTTTAAAAAAAGTTTTGGACCTTCAAAAGTCCAAGCCAAACGGCAACGACATCAACCTGAAGGGCTGAGACTTGGGGGTGAAATAAAATTTCAGCCGCCCCCTCGTTTTCTTATTCTCTTATTTGCATTGATATTAGTATAATTTCTTTATTATAGTTGATTGTGAAAACCTAACAACTTTAAAATTCTCTTCTTGACTTAGATAAAATCCCCACGGAGCTCCTGGAGTTTAGTTTATCAAATCTTTCTTTTGTATCTTACAATTGGTGGCGTTTCAAATTTTCATTTATTCTTCAAACCCTTTTTAAGTTTGATAATTTAAGCTTATAGAATGACTTGAGAACATTTTGTGCTCTTTCATAGTTGTTAAAAAGCTTTGAATCCATGTTTTGAGTTTGAATTTACAATTTAATTCCTTTTTTGAGCAGAATGAAATTGTCAAGTTTCTTAAAATATATATACAAAAAAAAAATAAGTTGTCTTATAATTTAACTTAAGACTTTGTATGAATGACTTAAGGTTTCTATATCCTTTCATAGTTGGTAAACAAAGTTCCTTAATCCATAATTAGGAGTTTTGAATTATTCATATTGGTTAAAAACATGAACATGGGTAAAAGTTTAAGTTAGGCAATTTGAGCTTCAAGACTAATTTGAGAATTATTCAATATCCTTTTATAGTTGTTAAACAAAGTTCCTTTATCCATAATTAGGAGTTTTGAATTATTCATATTGGTTCAAAACATGAACATGGGTAAAAGTTTAAGTTAGGCAATTTGAGCTTCAAGACTAATTTGAGAATTATTCAATATCCTTTCGTAGTTAGTATTTAGTTTTCAAATTCATGCTTAAGTTATTGTGTTGATTTTTCAACTGTAAAACTTTACCTCGGATAAAATGTTAAGTAGAAATAATTATTTTACAGTATAGCATTTGACTTATTTCATACTTGGAATTAGAGTTGTCAATATGGGCTAGACCACACCATCCGGGCTAATCCATATAGGCTTTGACATTTTACGGGTCAGGCCGGGCTAGCCCATTTTTGGCGTGGGGCAAAATGGTCGACCATACCCACAAGTACCTGGCTTGACGGGCCAGGCCACTTTTTTTTTTAAAAAAATATTTTTTATAGTTGTTAAATTAAGTTTCAAATTATAATTTGTAATATTATCTAAAATTTCGACAAAACAATATTACCTGATGTTAATGTTTGTACTTGTTAATTAAATCAAAATAAAATTATTTTTATAATATTTGTAGAGATAATATCAGAGACCTCCATGTTTCGCTCTTTAATACTTACCTACCCTTTGGTTTACGATATTACGTCTACCTTCCTTATTTTCATTTACTTGTAACCATTCTTTAAAACTATTTAAAATAAATATGAATTAATATAGATTTGACAATTTTACTCTTTTTTAGATAAATTTCTTCTAAATAAATATTATATACAAAATAACTAATTTAACAAATACTTTAAAAATAAATTAACGCAAAGACTTATTTTTTTAATCCAACAAAGATCAAAGTCTTCAACTAAGCTAACCCACATTTTCACCAAATATTAACTCTTTATCTCTATTTCACCTTTACCAATTCACGTAAATTTTTTCCCCATAACCCATCATTTTGCGGCAATAATTTTTTTAAATAAAAGACAAAATTGAACTATCCAAGAAAGAAATTCGATAAGAACGATAAGATTTTGTTCTAGTTAAACATTTACACAAGCTAAGAAGAAACGTGATCCAACGAATAAAGATAAATCATTGAAAATTAGATCTAAACATTCATATATAAGGGTAAGTTTATCAAATGTAAATTTACTTATATTTATTTAAATAGGTTTAAAGAATGGTTACAAGAAAATAAAAATAAGGGAGGTAGACGTAATATCGTAAACCACAGGAATTTGAGTGTTATAGAGCGAAGCCTGGAGGGAGGTCTCTGAAATTATCTTGAATAATAAATAAAAATATATAATTAAAAATATTAACCTAATTATTTTTAATTTGGACTCTCTTTAATTTTAAATTTTAATATTGTATTAAAAAATTTTAATTAATTATTATTTGCCCACGGGCCTACCCTACATATATTTCTCAAGCCCTTCAAATCAACAGATTTATTTAGGGCGGGGTAAAAATTTCTTTTATTAAATGGGCTCCAAAAATGTAAGTCCAACCCTATTAAATCCCGATTTATGCCAGGCCGGCCCAACGGGCCTAGCCCATATAGACGGCTCTACTTGGAATAAGATTAGTGTACAAGTGTCAAAAAAATGTAGTTATTTTAAAACAAGATTTTTTTTACAAGTAATCTATGTTTTCTTTATAAAATTAGCCAAACTTTAAAATTCGTCGGTAAATCACGTGTTTGCGGATTCTCTAAGATGACTAGACCTTTCCTTAGAGAATTAATTGAACCCTTACCCAAAACATTGGTTCATTTAAATGTTTTTTCTTAAAAAAATCATTTCAAATGGTTCTCTTTATTTTTACCTAAAAATTAAGTGGTGACTCCCAAGTTACAAATTATCCAAAAAAACATTAACAAAAAATGCCAAAGTTGCAAAATCGACTTCGAACATTTCATTTTTCGAAATCGGGTCGCAACATTTAGTTGTTTTCTTTCTGAATGTTAGGCTAAGTGTGGGTTGGGCCATGCTCACGCAAGTGTAAAGATGTGTAATTTTTTTTAGGTTTTTTAATAAAACACATAATCAGCCTAAAGGGGTCTCTTTATTTACTTTCAAAATTTTTAGCACAAATAACGTAGGGTTTTTGTTTGCTTTCAATGTTTTGAACAAAAATAACGTGTCTTTTTACATGCTTTTGGAGTTTTAATACATATACAATATATTTTCTTTGTCTGCTTCTTAAGTTTTGAACACTAATAATTTAGGGTCTCTTTCTCTGCTATCAAATTTTTTCATACAAAAAATATGAGGTTTTTGTTTGCTTTTGATGTTTTAACACCACAAATGTGTCTCTTCGCTTGCTTTCGGAGTTGTTAACAAAGATAATGTGAATTCTCTTTATATGCTTCTAGAGAATAACATTGATAATGTGGGGGACTCTTTTTCTGCTTTAGGTATTATTAACTCAATAAAAGCGAAGTATATCTAGTTTGGTAAAAAAAGTTGATCTTCATTAGCTTTTGGTTTAACGTTTCATATATCAATGGTTTAGTTGTTGTAAAATGGAAACATTAAATTTGCAAGTTTATAAAAAATAAAATTTGTAGAATAAATTGTATTGAGAATCATGACATTTTAGTATTTGATATAATACTAATTTTCTATACGTGCATTGAACATGAATGCCTAATAATATAATAAACAATATTATAAAACAAATTTTGTTTGGGTAAATAATTTTACATATATGAAGAAATAAAGTACACGTTTTAATGAAAGATCATGGTGGATTGTCGTATTGTTACTCATTTGTTGAGGTCAAAATTATTGAATTTTTTCCGAACCTTCAAGGATGAATTTTACACTTACACCCACTATAAAATAAAATTCTTTTTCATTTTATAGAAAATACATAAAAATCGTTGAACTGTCAAAGGTGGATAGTTTAAAATTTTGAAAGTGGGAGTATGGGTTCTAGTGTGTCCAAAAAAATTGTTTTTTTACTTTTTTATTAAAAACTACTCCAATTTATTTATTTATATAATAAAATGTATCAGTTAAAAATTAAAATCACCACATAAGGATTAGCATTGTTCTAGTCTAAAGAATTACATTGTGGCTTTTTAAGCCAAGAATTTTCTTTCTCTGTCTACTTTTGTAATCATTAACATAAATATAATGTGGGATCTCTATGTAAGCTTCCATAGTTTCTAAAATAAATAATGTGACTTTTTGCATACTATTGAAGTTTTTAACACAAATAGCATGTGTCTTTCTTAGTTTGATTCTACATTTTCTAATACTGACAATATGAGTTATCTTTATCTGCTTTTGATTTCATAGTACAAATAAAAAGGTCGAGCTCTTCGTTCTTCTTGTAAACTTTTTAACATAAATGATGTGGCTCTGTACTTGCTTTTGATTAATACATATAATACGGGTTCTCTTTGTCTGCTTTCGAAGCTTCTAACACTGATAACGCGGGGTTTCTTTCTTCAGAGTTTTTAATATAAAAAACGAGGGGTACATCTGATTCTCAAAAAATATGTCATTCATTAATCTTTAGGCTCGGAGTTTCTATTTTCTCTTGTTTAGTTGGTGAAAAAAAAGGGAAACTGCACAAGTACCCCTTGAAACTATGCCCGAAATTTTAGAGACTTACTTATACAATACTAAGGACCTATAATCCCCTGAACTTATGTTGTAAATATTTTTGTATCCCTTTTCGGCCTACTTGACACTATCTTGTGGGCCAAACGCATGTTGAAATTTTTTTCAAGCTAGTGTCAAGTAGGCCGAAAGAGGGTAGAAAATTATTTATAAAATAAGTTCTGGGATAAAAGGACCTCAGTATAACTGTGACTCTAAGATATCATGCATAGGTTGTGGGTGGGTGGGTGGGGGGAGGTACTTATGCATTTTATAAGATTTGCATGTTTTTTTTTACAAAATATATCTCGTAAAATTAATTGTATAGAATATTTTGATATTTAAGCATTTAATATATTACTAGTTCTGAGCAACCAGACTCCTCCATTAGAGACTTTTGGTCTGGAGCTCATTCCCGGTGCATGAATCGAAGGTGCATTGCACATGTATGCATAATAATGTAATGCACATATTTATAAATAATATGAATATTATTACATAAAGTACTTTTGAGTAAATTCTTTTACATATATGAAGAAATAATATATAAATTTTAAATAATGGCCAATGTGGATTATTGTATGGTTACTTGTTTGTTGAGATGAAAGTCGTTGAATTCATCTAAACCTCAAGGATTAATAAAGTTCTCGTTCCGATTTGATTCAATTTACAAATAGTAAAATAAAATTCCTAAAATGTCAAAATTTGATAGTTTGTGTTTTAGGTGTTGTGGTTGTGGTTGTGGTTAAAGTAGGGGTATAGTGTGGTGGTGATGGTGGGGATCTATTTTTTTAAAAAAAATAACTCCAAGTTTTTTTCCGGCTAAACAACTAATTATATTCCCTACATTTTATAATACTATGCATTGTTACAAACATAGGTGGTCACATTAATCCTAGCACGAGACTATTCTGGCTTAAAGAATTAAAATACCAAATTACATAACAACTTTTAAGACTAGTAAAAGTAATACTTCTTTGTGTGTTTTGAAATTTTTAACACAAATTATGTCGGGTCTCTTTGTCTGCTTTCAGAATTTTTAGCTCAAATAATATGGGGTTTATTTCTTCTTTCGAATTGTCTAGTACAATT